TTTTTTTGAGACAGAGTCTTACTTTATTGCCGTCAGTAGACTACCATGGCATCATAGTTCATAGCAACCTCAAACTCTTGGGCTCAAAGGATTCTCTTGCCTCAGCCTTCCGAATAGCTGGGACTACAGTTGTTGGCCACAACGCCTTTCTATTTTTAGAGATGGGGGTCTTGCTCTGGCTCAGGCTGGTCTTAAACCTATGAGCTCAGGCAATCCACCCGTCTCGGCCTTCCAAGGTGCTGGGATTACAGGCATGAGCCACCTCGCCCAGCCAGAGACTTTGCATCTTTTGTATTTACCTGGTTGGATTGGGAGAACATTCTCCTAAGTAAAATATCTCAAGAATGGAAAAACAAGGATCCTATGTACTCAGTACTAATTTGAAAATAGTAGATAAATAACCACAGGCCCACATTAGAGAAAAACAACTAAATTCAAGAAGAGAGAGGCCAGAGGGTTTGGTAAGTTCCCACTGAGGAGTACAATGTAGGGGTATATGGCATACTTGCTGGGTGAGGGACTGAATTACAACTCAAGACTTTGGACTTTACCTTTACAAACGTAAACGATGTGACCTAATCACATGTATCCTCCTATTAACCTTCCCCCTCACCCCCCCAAAAAGCACAGATCACCATAGCATGTATAATAATGAAAGAATTTAACTTACCGTGAGGAGTACCAAAATGTGACACAGAGACATAAAATGAGCACATGATATTGAAAAAGTGGTGCTGATAGACTTGCTTGATTCAATGTTGCCACAGGCCTAAAATTCATAAAAATGAAACATCTGTGAAGTAGAATAAAGCAAACCACAATTAAAAAGAAACCATTATGTTTCATACATGTGACTTTACCTGTCTCCTCTTTACTGCATTGTTTGTTCTTTCTGTACCTGTGTTTGATAGGAAATTATATATTGTGCTAGTAATAGAAAACTGTCTATAAATAGACAGGTGTTGTGGTGAATGCCTGTAGTCTGAGCTACTTGGGAGACTGAGGCAGTAGAATCACTTGGGCCCAGGAGTTTGAGGTTGCTGTGAGCTGTGACGCCATAGAACTCTACCAAGGGTGACAAAGTAAGACTCTGTCTCAAAAAAAAAAAAAATTTTGAGAGATTCACATGTACCTTTATAGGATGTAGAATATAAATGTCTTAACACAGTACTAAGAAAAAGACATGAAGGCTATATTAACCAGTTGGATGAAAGTATTTCAAATTGTATACAGAAACAGTACATTGTACTCCATAATAGTATTAATGTACACTGCTATGATTTAATTAAAAAAAAAGAAAACTTTTTTCTAATATGTATGTTTTTACATATTTTTCCATTAGATCTTAAAAAAATCTTATATAGAATATTGAATGATTAATACTGTTCCCCTCTGAAAAAGGATATATCTGACACTAAAAACTTGTGACTTATTAAAAGATTGCAAAGGGAGTTAGTGATAGAGCCTGGACTTGAACTTCTATGCCGTGTAACTCAGATTACGAATTCTTTCTGGGATACTGTGCTACTTCACCTACCATAGCTTTTTTAAAATACCAGGGCCACTGCTGTTGAATGGTTTTTTCTTAGAGACCTTTTGTCTCACTGTAACTGTTGCTATAGTGAGTATAGTTGAAACAAAGACCTATCTTTAAGACTTTTTTTTTTTTTATAGTGAGAGTAATTCTAGTTAGACTAGTTAATATTTCTTGGGAAGCGAAATCCTATTAATGGTATCAGAATTACAGCAAGTAGATTGTAAAGCACATACAACTATTTTATACTTGCTAATTTCATAGTAATTTTCCTTTAAGTCTGAAACTCATTTTTTCCTGACATAAGTAAAATTGTGTTATTTTATATTGTGGTTGCCTGTGCAGAATTGAGCCAATAAAATTGTTTTCAGATGTTTGTCATCCTTATGGATATTTTTCACATTTAAATATATTTATTGTTTTTGAGATCAGGATTTTCTTTTTTATATTTTTATGTAAGAAATAATAGCCTTGGTTCAGTGCCCGTAGGACAGTGGTTACGGTGCCAGCCCCATACACCAAGGGTGACGGGTTCGAACCCAGCTAAACCAACTGCAACAAAAAAATAGCTGGACGTTGC